CTATACCTACCTCTTCCGGTTTGTCTGATTTGTCGTTGTGTTTTCTGACTTGTTAATTTGTTTTCGGATTTGTCGTTGTGTTTTCTGACTTGTTAATTTGTTTTCGGATTTGTCGTTGTGTTTTCTGACTTGTTATTTTGTTTTCGAATTTGTCATTGTGTTTTCTGACTTGTTATAATGTTTTCTGAATTGTTGTTGTGTTTTCTGAATTGTTATTTTGTTTTTTAGACTTGCATTTGCATTTGTAATTTGTTATTTTGTTTTCAGAATTGTGATTTGTTTTGCACTTCTCTGCCACCGTACTTTTACAATAAGGCAGTCATTTTCAATAACATTAAAATCATGTTCCAGCCTCTTTTTCCCAGTACAGACTGAGAGCAGTGGAAGAACACGTCAGTCGAGACAATAAAATGAAAGATATTGTCCCCCGAAGCCCTTTTAGCACCTTGTGACAAAGTGACCCTTTTTAAATATATGTGGAAAAAACAAAGTGTTCGGCCGCCAGTTGATCGTGGTCTTTAAATGGACTGAGGGGAGTGCTTCAGTCACCGCTGTCAGGAGCTGACGACAGGCTTTCGCCAATTTTTCTTTCCATTAATGAACAGAATAGAGGAGGACTGAGTATAAAAAAATAGTGTTTCCACTGCTTCTCTTTTTTTCTTTCTTTTCAATATTCTGTGCTTCAAATGTCTTAAGATGGCCAGATATCTCTTGCTTCTTTATAGCCTAATTATTATTTTTTTTCAAGAACTGTCCAGGTTAAAATCGTAGTCCCAGATTTTCAGTGGGTCACAAGGGTATGATGAAAAGTGTCTACCTAATGTGCAAACGTCCATAAATCATATCAGATAAACCAATTTGAGATCCTGGAGGAGGGAAGAGAAAGCGACTGTCAATCTTGCTAATGTGAGGGAATTTTACCGGTCGGATGAGTCTCTGAACATGTTTTTCTCACACTGGAGATTCCGAGCTTCATCTGTGATGTCATTTGACTGAGGATTCAATAAGACGTGGGCTTCAAAAACAGCAACACGTAAAGGCTCCCAAATGCCCCAGTGATGCAATGAAGGGGCGAGTATATATGTGTGTGTTTACCTTCAGTATGATGAAATCAGATCATTACTCTAATGATCAGAG